GTAGAACCCTCTCAAGGATGATCAGAAGAAATGGACAGCACCTGAGTTAAATATATGAGTGTCACAGCAAAGGGTCTGAATACTTAGGACCATGTGATATTTCAGTTTTTCTTTTTTAATAAATCTGCAAAAATGTCAACAATTCTGTGTTTTTCTGTCAATATGGGGTGCTGTGTGTACATTACTGAGGAAAAAAAATGAACTTAAATGATTTTAGCAAATGGCTGCAATATAACAAAGAGTGAAAAATTTAAGGGGGTCTGAATACTTTCCGTACCCACTGTATATATATATATATATATATAAACAATCACTGCATCCAACAGATGTCAGATGTTACCAGCATCAGATGTGGAAGAGAATAAAATAAACTTTACAAACATTATTTTCATGGTTTCAGTAGTACCATGCAAAAACTGCACTCTTGATTTAACAGTTATCTACTCTGTCTGAAAAAAAAATGTATATACTAATACTATTTTATTATGACTCCTTAATATTAAACACAAATGGTTCAGTAAACAAATCTAGATAATCTAGACATCTAGATAAATGATTACTTATTATAAATGTTCTGACTACATTAATTTCATATAAAATGCATTTAACAGTAACAGAACACAGAGACTACTACAAAAATGACAAAAAATGACAAAAAAAAAAAAAAAATTTTATCACATTACTACATTATGTGAAATTTAATTAGTAGTCCTTTGATTGTTATGCCCGATATACAATATTTTCAGCAAATAAACTATATAATATAAATATAATTAAGACAAATATATGTAGTTAATTAAAGTGCTCTTACCAGTCCTTTAGCAGTATATTATGCTGAACACGTTGATCGGTAATCCGCTGTTGTCTCAGTGATCCAATAGTTATTCTATGCTTCAGTTCTTCCACTTCTCTTTAATCACCTGTGACGCTGCCTCTTAAATACCACTTAGTGACGTCCTGACTTGTGGTTTGTTACTTCACTGATATGCACAGATAAGGCATAGCCTTTTTTTCGTAAATCTTTTGTATTGTGCCCGTCTAAAGTGTCTGGAGTGCGCAACCATTTATTATAGGAAGGCTTATTTATAGAAACTGTTACTTGATAACTTGATAACTTGAAAACTTGATAAAGCCATATAGTTGCACATTTTAATTTATATGTCATTCTCATACCGTGATTATGTTTTCATTTCAATCAGACATTGTTTTAAATGTATAAAAAAAAAATCATTTGTTTCAATGTATTAATTTGTTGATATTACTGCACGAATGTTAGTGTAATAAATACAAAATGGAATTGCATTAGCAGTTTATACAAAAACAACATCAAACTCAGAGATTCCCATGAGTTTAATAATTGATCAGCACGTGATCTTTTTATGGATCCTACATCAACTGATCCCGATAACCGCACATGTGAGATGTCAAAAGGGACCAACACAAAAGACACTAGGTTTACCTATGCATTCTTCACATACTGGCACTTAGTTTCACTGGCTTCCTTGACGTTTTTGAGAAAGTTTGCCCTCACTAATGAAGCATCACTAGCCCAATACTCAACAACTGAACTGGTAGTGCCGATACGCGCATATTTACTAGCTATATAGAATATTTCACATAGTTGTTTTTCTGCCGATAAGTATCTCGGGACTCATTATAAATTAGAAATAGAGAGAGAGAGAACCCTTTCTAAATTGCTATTTTTTTTTATTTGTAACAGTTGATGTAGCCAAGCCATTTCTAATAATAGATATATTTTAATCATTCAGGCGGACAGTATGTTTTAATTATCGGCATAACAATATTTGAAATAAAAGGATAATAACACATGTGTTTTGTTTGGCTAGAAAAAAATGTTTTCACAAAAGTAAAAAAAATTGTTTAAAATAATAATCAGTGGAACTTCTGAAGCTTTAATGGTTGATATCTATTGCTGGTGTGCTTACATCACGTAATTTGTTTTCAGTTGCGACCTATTGTCTATATGGTTTTATTTCGTTAAAATCGTTAGGGCTATTGGACATTTCTGAAAAAAAATCAATGAGCTTACAAATTTCAAGAAAATTATAGTTGTATTTATATTATAATTATACTTTATTGAAAAGACAATTACTCTCTTGAAAGAATCTTCTTGAAATGGGTTTGGTTATAATAAGAAAAAACTTCTTTTTTAATATATATATATTTCATAATCAGAAACAACGTTTGTTGAAACGGCGAGACGCCAGTATATAGCTAGTAAGTGGGCTATAATAATAGCATAAGCACAGTCATTGTATTTGAAGTGCCATCTTTGATAATCAAGTCAAGTGAAGTAGTAGCCATTCCTCGCATTACAGTCAAGTCTAAGAAATGAATCCTTGAGTGTGGTAGAGGTGAACACCCTTCACTTTATTTCCAGAAATTGTACAGTGATGCTTAAGGTGTTACACATCATTTATTTCCTCAATGGATGATTTTTATGCCTTTTTTTGTATTATGTATTATTCAGTCTAAATGTAGTGAAACTGTAGCAAAAAAAGGGGTCAAGTTTGCCTTGTAGAGAGAATTAAGAATTTAAATAATCAGATTCTTGAAAACAGAACACCCCTTAGTAAAGTATTGATGATAGCTCGATTGACGGGGAGCGCTCTCTACTGGCAAAATTGGCACAGTGCAAGTGGACTTGGAAAACGGTAAAAACAAATGAAGAAAAGAAAACTATTATCGCTAAGCAGCAATGAACGAACATTCACAATGAAACACTCTTTCTAGATTAGATTTTTCTGAAGAAAATGTATCATTGCAAATATTCTGTGCAAATGTGCTACACTCTCAGACAAAAAAGGTACAAAAAGCTGTCTCTTGGAGGATACCTTTTTTAAAGAAACGTTTTTCTACCTTATTTACCACTAAAGGGTGCATATTAGTACCTTATTAGCACCTTAAAAGTACATATTAGTACCTAACGTGTACATATTATTACCCAATTGGTATATATTAGTACTTTAAAAAAAAAGAGTACCACCCTAGTGACAGCTTTTGAACCTTTTTGGTCTCTTTTGTACCTGTCTTTTGTCTGTTTGTTCATATCACAACACCTATATAAAGTATTTTGATAATACTTGCCTAAGTTTCCATAGCTGTTAGTCTGCTGTGTTATTATTTATGCCACGCACTTACTTGCACTTTTGATACTTCAGTAGATTTAATGTAAGTTACTGTACCTTAAGTATTACTTCTCATAAACTAATTTAACATTTAAAAAAAAAAAAAAGCTTGAGCATGGCTGGGTATTTTATGCAGTGCTTGTTATCTGGGACACTGTATTGAGCAAGAAGAAACATTGGGAATTAGAAAGAATAAAAGTCTTGCTACATCAGCAGTTCATGGGATAGCAAAATCACAGAGTTGTGCCTGCTGTCCCAGTTACTCTCTGTCCTCATATGACCTACTCTTGGACTTTTTTTAAAAAGATAAGCTTGTATTTGGCCAGCAGAGGGCAGGCATGAATTTGCTTTAAAATACTGCTAGTGGATGAACACCTGCCTAAAAATACATCTTCTATAAGCTCTTATTAGCACCTGTAATACTGACATTGAAACACTTAAAGATATAGTTCACCCACAAATCTGTCATTTACTCACCCCATGGCGTTCCAGACCTGTATGACTTTCTTTTTTCTGTGAAGCACAAAATAATATATTTTGAAGGTTAGTTGACTTTCATTGGTTTCATTCTCACGTTTTTAACAACATGAGGGTGAATGAATAATGACCTAATTTTCATTTTTTAAAGTGAACTATCACTTTAAATTGTGTTCTGCAGGCAGGTACAAAGAAAATAAATCTTGTATTCAAAACTTTTCCATTTCACCTGTGTAATTTAACTACTTTAACTACTTATTTAACTACTAACTACCATAGTTTATATCAGTTCACTGTCATTTAATAGTCTCACTTAAAAAAAAAACAGTACAGCACAAATAACCACAAAGATTCTCACTTTGAAGTCCCATTCATCAGAAAACTTCACAGTCTTCACAGAGAGATAAAGGCAGCCTTGAATTGTCTGGGGCGAACAAAATAGGTTGTGCAATGTTATTCAACAGCAAAGAATGTGACCGTGTGACATTCCATTCATGGTGACACTCTGAAAATATGGGCGTTTTATTTACCCTTAATTGTTACCACTTTAATCTCTGCAGATCATTTTATAAAAGACTGTCAACACCTAGAATTATACAGAAGGTGTTAAGGCGGAAGAATGTCAGAGTAGTAGAATCCCTTAGGCATTGACCTAAGACCTGTTTCAACAATACTAAGACCTATTATGACAGAAATGCTTTGGTATTCATACATAAGACCTCCTAACACCTTAAAGATATATGTATGCATAGACTTTTATTTCATTTTTTTCACACATTCTCTGAAACACACAATAACATGACGTACATAGTTAAAAGAAGCAAAACTGTTATGCAAGACAAGCCTCTTGTCAAATGAATGAATGAAAACAAAAGACAAACAGACGTGGACAAAGTAAAATCCAGTCATCTCAGTACACACGCATGAAGATGTGGGCTTACTTGTGGTAATAGCTAACATCACCTTCTCTATAACAGCAAAGATGAGTAAAAAATAAAGTAAAATAGGACTGATGTAAAGCTATGCTCCATTAAAAAAAAAAAGCCTACTCACAACTTATCTTTATATTATAAAAGGTGAGTTGCATATCACAAATCACAAGCATGTCACAAAATAAGTTTCGAGTTAAGCCTGTTATGCAAACAAGCAAGCAAGACTGGTCAAGTCAGTGGTTCACTGCAAACAAATCAACAAACCTGCCAAAGAAAAGGTCAAGTTATTTCTGCCATATGTACATTAACTGACAGTCACCACTGATAAGTTACTACTAAATATTGTAGAAGCTTAATTTTCTGTAAGTTGCTTTGCAACGATTTGTATCGTAAAAAGCGCTATACAAATAAACTTGAATTGAATTGAATTGAATTGAAGTCACAGTACTTGAAACGAGTCAAAGAAATGAACTGTTTGAGTCTGTAAGCTGTCACAAAAACACCGTACTTGAAAGTGCTGTACATAAACGTCACCCAGACATCTATTCAGTGTAATAGCCATGCATGTAGACATGAAATCTAGAAATTAAAAAGCTTCTAGTATTAAATGTAACTGACGTCTGTCTTGAAAGCAAACATGGCTCTTGCATATCACACTGCTATGGGGGCAAACAATCCCATCAATTATTTTTAACTGTACTATATGTCTGTTTCAGACACGCACAGTAAGATGATTCCACAAAATTAAAGACACTGAACCATAAGGAGGATTTTGCTTGTGGTTAATGTACTTTTGGTCATTAAAACTTTCTGACAAACATCCCTTGCACCCCAGAACAAACACAGGCAATTATATAGAGAAAAGAGGTCATGTGCTCTAATTATGTCACCTGGCAAAGATCAAGAGACATTTCTTTTTCACGGCACGAGAAGGAGATATTTTCCCACTGCATGCAATTTGTCAATCTGTAATCATGCAGTATATGAAAAAGTCATACACTTTCAGCAAAAAGATGATTTTAAAATACCCTATGCAGTATACAGTACATAAGGCATTGTAGAGTTTTTAGGGACATCTGACAAATGATTATTACATTCAGTTAAATTAGTGAGTGTACAACACACTTGTTTTGTGACTAGCACAATAAAAATGTTTTAAAGCTTTGCATTGTTTGCGAGCATTACATATCTGAAGTGGAAGATGAAAACCTCTGCAATGACAGTTTGCGTAGCAGTTTGTTAGCAGGTTATTACAGTTTTGTGTGTGTGTGTGTGTGTGTTTAAAGACACTTTCATTGTTTTTACTAGCCATAACCCACTCTGGATATTTTTTTTTCAAAAATATAAATATATATACAGTACTTGCTAGTAAGGTGGATTAATACAGTAGCTATTATTATGTAAAGTAAGGTATAAAATGTGAGCCACCCAGCTGTCAGATATGCTGTCAGTGTGCAGTATTTACATTTCAGGAAAAAAAACTAAAGTTTAGTGAAACTCACTGATTTACTCAACTCATTACTTGTCATGTTGCTATAAAGAAAGAACAAAATAGGTCTCATTAATGCATACTATCTAATAGGCCTCATTAATCATACCATCCTGAATTTATGCCAGTTTTGATAACTAGGCTATAAAGAATTTGCAATGAAATAATTATGCAAGTTAAAGTTGCATTAAGACTTTATTTAATTCATTTAATATAAAACCCTTGTACATTTTAAATAAATGTAAATACTAACAATCATACAATTTTGGACCATATGAACTTAATAAATATGTTTATTTGATTATAATAAGATAGAATAAGGTCTTGCAATGTTAGCACATACTAGACAAAAGATAATTACTGTATAAATAGTCTTTAACCTGCAGACAGGTGAACAAAAGCATTACATTTAAAATACTGAGGAAATAGGAATTTTCCTTATTTGATTGATTACAACAACCTGCTGATAAATAAAAAAATATATATAATTTTTAATTACAAATTGTGCCCTGAGAATCAATGCAATTTTAGGCTTATGTTTATATTGCCATTGCCATATTTCGAGAGTGTGCTACAATACTAAATAACACATAATACACATACAAAAATAATATAATTTGCTAATATAATTTGTGCCTTGCACATGCCTTTCATTTCTCGCAACTCACATTCATTGTTAAGGGATCTATAGGAAAAGATGTAATATTTTTGCCATAATAATGAGCCATGTTGCTTGGAGCAGACTGGATTCAATCTTCAATCCACTTGAAGCTGTAGTTGCAGCTGCAGTTGTAGTTGTAGTTGCAGCTACAGTCGTAGCTATAACTGTGAGAAAAAGATGCATGAAATAGATCAACAAAGTATCTCTGAAAAACGAAGTAATTTCAGGTTTACATGGCATATACAACACAATATCGTATATCCATATTATCAACTAGTGACTAGTGCTATAGAAGGTTAGAAATTCCACAAGATCTATTGAGCCAAAGTACTAGCTACAGTTGTTGTAAGACTTTCAGAATATGTAGCAAGATAGGTTTTGAAATGCAATCAAACTTACCTGAACCATTGACTGAAACTGTTGAAGGGATTATGTTAAGTGGATCGACACCTCCTGTTACCACTGCTGTCAGGAGGGAGTCTGAAATCTCTTGAACGGTTGGAACTGGTTGTGTGGAGTTAAAAACTAGTTGGGTTTCTGTGATGATTGACCCAGGACTGGAAAAAATAGAAGGATGCCAAATAAGATTCCTTAATAACATATATGTTAACATATATATATATATATATATATATATATACCCAAAATGCACATAAATTCCATATTTACCGGAAACTTATGACAATCACTCTGATAAAGGAAGGATATTTTGCTCTGTAGATTGGTTCAAGCTGTAACATACAATAACAGGCAGTCACAACCACAATCAGAATGGTCTTTTTTATTTGTTAAATTACATTGATAGCCGTTGAGGACTTTTTTACTTTATGAGGGGGGGGGGAATCAAAATGTGTCACTTATTTATGGTAAACTAAACAATTTAAATAATAGCAAATCCCTTTATACAGTATGTCTGGCTTTGGTCTAAAATATCTGTATTCTTTTCTCTTAAGTACAAGATATTTTCTGTGTGTCATCTGTGAATCTTGTAAGTTTATTTTAACTCACCTGAGATCTGACAACCTCCGATCTTGACTTGAAGGCCTGAGAGCTTTGATTACTGAGTTCAATTATAAATATGTCAAAAGAACGGTACACAAGAACTGTTAGATACATGGGTACAGATTTTGTAGTTGTAGTTGCAGGCACTTTAGTTGTAGATGTCAAGGGTCTTGTAAATGTCAAGGGTCTTGTTGTTGTTGTTGTTGTTGTTGTCGGTGTTGTTATTGTTGTCATTGCTGTTGTTGTTGTTGTTGTTGTTGATGCTGTAGTTGAAGTAGTCACGTTAATAACTGTAAGAAAAAAGGTGTACAAATTAGGTAAACAAAATGCACTGTGTTTTGTTTGTCAGTATACATAGTGATATGAAGGTTGTACATTTTACAAGATCTACTGAGCAAAAGTGGTAGGCACAGTTTTTCTAAGACTTTCAGAATTTGTAAGATGTTTTCTGAAATGCAAGCAAACTTACTCGAACCATTGACTGAAATCGAATAAGGAGTTATGTTCAGTGGATCGACACCTCCTGTTATCACTGCTGTAAAGAGGGTGTCTGAAATCTCTTGAACAGTTGGAACAGGTTGTGTGGAGTTGAAAGCTAGCTGTGTTTCCGTGATTACTGACCCTTGTCTGGAAAATATAAAAGAATGTCATAGGATTCCTCAACATGAGCAAATTACCTTTATTTTAAGGTTACTACATGGTTATTTTTTTAACCCACAATGCACATAAATTCCTTATTTACCTGAAAAGCAAGACAGTCACTTCAATAAAGGAAAGATATTTTGCTTTGTAGATTGTTTCAAGCTGCAAGAGTAAAAGTACAATAACAGGCAGTCAAAATCACAATCAGATTATTATTATAATTTTTTTTGTTAAATTACATTGATTACTGATGAAGATTTTTTTATTTCATG